TCGTGGAACTGCGCAATGACCCCATTGACGCTAAGGACATTCTGGGTGCTGATGCTGGACCCATCGGTGGCATTCTTGGGGCTGCCCTTGGCGAGTCTGCTGCCGAGACCAAGGCCCGTGTTGACGAGGCTAAGAAGACAGCAACTGATCTTAGTGGACTTGTCCGCAAGAAGAACAAAGATGAATCTGCCGAGGAACCTGGAGCTGCACGCGCGCCTGAAGCGGAGACTAACGGCAAGCGAAAGGCGGAAGAGCCTGCTGAAGATACTGAGACCAAGAAGACCAAGGTGGAAGCTTAGGGTCGAGGTCAATGATATTAGTTGGCTATTATTTCAGCGGGATCCACAACTCAGGATGGAGTTCAGGGCATTGTCATATTGCGACGCAAGGAAAGGAAAGGAACGGGACGAAAAGGATGGGAATTTTGAAGCAGCCAAATGTTACTCTGAGTATGTGGCGAAATGTAAAACTACAGCTCTTTGATGTACGATTAGTTACGCGGGATGCTCGGCATAATGGACGGATTTAACAGGAAAGGTGTGAGCATAACTCGTGAGTGAAGACGAGGACATCTTTTGTGTATAACCAAGCTCAAACAGGAATCCAGTATGGACATATGAAACCTATGCAACAAACATGAAAATGCGTTCTCATGAAGAATCGCTCAAGCCATGCAAACACCCCATCGTTACTTTTGAAACCCCGAACCAAACTGCAAAAAGGAATAATGCCACTTGACCATCTACTACAACTTGAAACTGCCACTCGAAGCAACCTTGGCAGTCTTTGCCTTCTTGCCATCCACGTCGGTGATTTCTCCCTTGCGGTTGATGACCTTGACGCCTCCCTTCTTGAGCTCGGCGATGGTGTCGCGCTGCATCTTGGCTCTCTTGCTGACAACCTTCTCGCCGTCGACACCTCCAGCCTTGCGCACGCGTTCTTTCTCGCGACGGCGCCGGCGGGCCTTGTCCTCGCGGGACATCTCCTGGCGGGCGACAGGAAGACCGGCCTTGGTGACGACCTCGCCACTGGCTGCGTTGTCTGTGGCACCAGCCTTGTAAACTTCTTGAGGAGCCATGCGACTGCTCTCGCCAGTGACGCCCTGGGCTGTTGTGGGCTGGGCGTCCTCCATTGCGACAGTGGCAACGTCCGCGACGACGGATAGGGTGGGTGCTGTGGGCTTGGGCTTGTAGTGCCATGAGCTGAGGGCGTCCAGACGAGCGCTGACGTCCTTCCACATAGCCTCAACTTCCTTCTCCTCGCGCTGAAGCTTCTCATCTGATTGGCTGACATAAGTGTCTGGGTTTGTGTTCTTGACGTGCTCTTCCTCGTAGATCTCGGCCAGACCCTTTGTAGCCTTTGTATCATCGAGTTCGACAAGACCACGACGGGTACCTGCGGCTGCACCCTCGGTGTCAGGACGTCGGCGAATAACCTCGTCGAACTCTTGAGCGAGAATACGACGCTTGATGAGATCCTCAATGCTTTCACTGACCTCAGGAGTGATGACGGGCACGGGCTTGCCAACATGCTCGAAATCGAGATCCTGCTCCAGTAAAGAGTTTACAGGGCGGTCAACTGCAGCAGCTTCACCAGAGAGAGTCCACTCACGCTTGGCGACGGATGCAGCCTCAAGCTTGCGGATCTCTTCGGCAAGCTTGGCTTGTCTCCGCTCGTGAGCTGAGCGTCTTGACTTGGGATCTCCAGCGGAAACATCGGAGAGAGCATCGTCCGAGTCTTCCTGTTCTGACTCGTCATCAAAGAGATCTCTGCGAACATCGGCCATGGCTCTCTCAACGTCGGCATCGTTTGGCTGCTCGTGCTGGAACTTGACGGACTTTTTGGGCTTACCGCCATTCGACTTTCGACGTGGCGGCGCAAAGAAGTCCTTATAGTAGACGTCGTTGGCATTGAGGCCGTTGTCGTCGTCATCAACAGGCTCATCCATATCCATGGCCTCATCCTCACTGTCACCTTCTGGGGCATCGAGAGCCATGTCACCAAATGTAGGGCCGTCATCCTCATCGTCGCTATCTTCATCTTCAGAGACTGGGTCTCTAGCAGCCTTCTTAGATTTTGAACCTGTTGCAGGAGGAGCCAGAGGATCCGCATCCCAGTTGATCTCCTCATCGTCGCTTGCTCGATCGGTGTACGGATCTCCCTTTGTGTCCTGCTCCTCGAAATATTGTGTTTGCCGGTTGAAATCGTCGAGCGAGAAGAAACCATCGTTGAGACCGTCGGGGTCCTCCTCATACTCTTCAGCTGGTCCATCCACACCCTCGTCTTCCTCATCGCCTTCCTGATAATCGTCTCTACCTTCTCCAACCTCCTCTTCATCATCTTCCCAGTCGTCCTCTAGGCCATCTTTTTGAGCTTCATCCACTGATAATTGCTCCTCCTCCTCGTCGGATCCATCCTGATCGCTGTCGTCCTCGTCCCCGTCCTCGTCTACTTCGAAGCCGTCCTCTCCAAACTCGAGCGTCTTGGAGTCTGATGGGCCAGCGCCGTTGACGGCAACCTCCTTGCGCTCCTCCAACCCTGCCAGCGCCTCCTCTGAATATTTCAAGACACCACCAATAATTCTCTTGGCCTGCTGCCAAACCTGGCCGGTCTCGAACCCATCAATATAGACCTTGCGAATTTTAAGAACATCATCGCTATTGGCAGCGCCTCTCTTGCGCTTGCGGTTTTCCTTTAATCTCTCCTGCTGCTCATCACCGACTTGTGAGGCAAAACCTTCGAGGGTGTGTTTGACAAGATTGAGAGAATCGGTTGGAATGGAAGCTGTGGGTTGGAGAAAAGCGTGTCGCTTGCCATCGGATAGGCTTTCTAACAGGGCCAAGACGTGGCTGTTTGTGAGAGAATCGGGAGCAGCCATTGCGGGCGGCGCGGCAGTCAAGGTATGTGAGGTTGAAGTGAGCGATGGCGACGTCTGGACGGCCATGCTCTGAAGTTTTTATCGGAAGCAGAGCTAATTTGCACTGCTTTTTACCGCGATAACGAATCGTACATAAAAACTGTCGTGTTGCGTGCGATTGCCGTGGCCTGAGAGGACTTTGATAAGTCGAAGCTGAAGACGAGTCGAGATGAAGTGAAAGCGATTGACGGCAGGAAAAAATTTGGGAGACTTGGGTGAGGCCCCGCGACGGGTAGAATCTGGATGATTTGATTGGTCAATCAGCCCATGTCAAGAATCACGATAAGAGATAAGGCATGGTCCATTTGAATATCGATTCCAAGGAAGAAATACTCCGTACCTTACTAGCAAGGAAACGATATTTTAATTACTAACTATATGATACCAAGATATTTGATTTACTCGGATTGATATAAGAAGATTCGTGACGAAAACAATACGTTATCCCACCGCAAACACGCAGATACGCTTATGTTGCAGGGAAAATATAGACACTTGATGACCTCTGATCTCTAGGAACATGAGGCAAAATAGCCATTATTTGTTCTCAGTAGGTCAAATATATAGAGTAAGATCGACTGATATCTGCTATGAGATTTTATTGCATCATCTAGGTTCCGTCTTGTTCTTAATAGGTACATCTTCTACAGACTCTTCTAGGAACCTTACGTTAGCAAGGCAAGGATGCGAAACTTGATTGAGAACTGATAACAAAAAGAATGGTTGAAAGACCGGAGCTAATTATCGACTCAGAATGTCCTTTTCTTCTTGTTTTTCCTCTATAACAGAATAAAAATTTAGCAAAGAAGTACTGCCTCTGGTTCACTAGCAAGTTTCCTAGAGCGATCACGACTCACTTCTTCGTCCCCTTTGTCTTGACATGAGAAGACTTCTAAGCGCGTTACTCATGGCTGCTCACTCAACTCCAACCGAGCCTAGAACATCAATTGACATTACCGTATCATAGGCAGCAACCGAGACAGCAAGGTCTCAACCGCTACTACATCCGACGAACCTGCTAGTGACACCACCACAACCCTGGTTACATCCTGATCATCATTCGAAAGCACGTCGACAACAGAGAGCCTATGGACTCCAACAACTTCATCACCATCATGTCCCGTTGTCTCAGTTTCTATCCAAGACCCAAGGTTTAAGGGGGCGACATGGGCGAGAACTGATGGGACTGTATGAGACAATTCGCCGGTGTTAATGTGGCATTTTCCAAAAGAGTAGCACCCCTCAGGACGTCCGTCGCGCTCATAGTAGCGACTAGTTTGCCCAAGCTAGACACATATCAGCGCTCCTAGACTCTATCACAGCTAACATCACATAAGACTTGTTAGCCCAGGACTAGGCTCTACCCTTGGATCTAATATATAGAGACCCATATCCCCAGACTCAACAAAGAAAGTATCAAGTATAGTTCTCATATGCTCCTGTCTCTGACCCTGATCAAGATTGAGATTTATCCTTCATCATATCCACTCAGAAATTTGGCCATGTCCACAACGAGAAAGTCTTTGTTCCGAAAGGCGCCCCTGTTGAATACGTTCAACGCTCTGCGATCTTCCAAGGAGCAATGAATGACCACCTATATACATTTGTAAGAGTTAACAACCAGGGTGTCGTTCGTTATGTAGCTATTAACGACATCTATGTGGGCGAATACAAACCGGCCTGTGCTGTTCCAAAAGAGACTACCAGTATTTGCGGTGGTACTCAGGGAACTTTCCACAACAATGGCCCAAATTATAGAGCCATGTCGATGCTCCAGGGTACTGTCCGGATATGTGCCCGAGCGTGTCTGGAGGATGAGAGCTGTGAGGTATTCAGCTGGGTCGTTTCCCAGTATTACAAGAACTGTTACCTTTCATCGATCCCCAAGTAGAGTATGGGCATTTCGGCTACTGATAGCGGAGTGAAGTTCTATGATGTATCTTGCGGGCAATGCTCTGAGAACGAATGAATACCTTATCATTTCCCGATGGATTGATCCATCTTCATTTCCAGAGGACAAGTGGATTGTCGGACAGGACAGTAATATCAGAAAACGTAGTGTAGAATAGTTGAATCGCCCTGGTCACTGAAGCATAGAATCCTCAAAGAGAAACTTTGCCAAGATATGAACCGCTGTCCCAGTGATTAGGACTTGCTGCTCCAGCTTGACACCCAATGTACCACCCTCCTCGCCAATATAGCTCTCAACGCAAAATACCATGCCCGGCTCGATAACGCCATCATAGCCAGCATCTGAGAAGTCACCTCGATCATACAAATACGGACACTCCCCCGTAAGACCACAGCCATGCGCCGAGACAAAATACCGGTTGGCCCAACACTGCACAGGAATATCCCACGCGCAATCTGCATACTCGCGAAAGGTCAAGCCCGGTCTGAGGATACTCATGTTGTGATTAACCTGCGCAAGTGCTATTCTGTATAGCCCCTTTTGCTCATCGGTAAGAGGATCTTGGCCAGCGTGAAACGTTCGTGAGAAGTCAGAATATTATCCATGACAACCGACTACGTCTGTGTCTAGAACCGCAAGGTCGTTCTTCTGGATGACATAACCCGCTGACCCCCGGAACCAAGGGTTTGTTCGTGGCCCAGCACTGAGGAGCCGAGTTTTGATATAGTCTTCATTCTGCTCGATCACAGATTTGTGCATGACTGACCAGAGTTGGTTCTCTGTAAGACCTGGCGAGACTGCATCGCGGAGTTCGCCCACGGCGGCCTCTGTTGCGCGAAGAGATGGGACAATGCATTTGACCTCATCGGGCGATTTGATAGTCCTTGAAATTTCTATGACATATTGAGCATCCACAATGTTGAGGCCGAGTTCCTCGAGGGTGATGACAACGTTTGCATTCATGCGCTCCAGACCAAGTGTGGCATTCCGTTTCCCAGCAAGACTCCCAACCAAATCAACCATCTCTTGTGCCCATTTCCTCTCCTTGTCGTGAATCTTGGGGCCGCTGTTCGTAAACGTGACAGACTTTGCTGTACGGACTTCATCGACAGTCTCGTAGCCTTGAGCCAAGTGAAGGCAGCCGGCACACTCAAACATAATGGATCAAGTTGCCGTAAGGAGAAGATACCGCGTTGGAGGGTTCCGTGCTGTGAAGACTTGCATGTTCCGCGTCCCAGTCACATAACGAATGTTGACGGGATCACTGATGATGGCAGCGCCGAGGCCATATTTGACCATCTGGCTTCGTGTACGATCAAGACGACACAGACGAACTGCCTTGAGATCTATCCCCTTACTCTCAGGGGCTCGATACAGGAGAGCTAGACCTGGCTGATCAGTTCTCTCAGCGTGCCAAACAAAGTTTGCCATCGTTGTACTCGATACTTAGGAAGCTACTCTATAATTTCTCTTGCCCTCTTCTGAGTCCTCTCCCCTCCTTAGGCCTGTCTTATAGGAAACCCTATCCTCGCAGAGAAGAGGGGTTCAGATTCACAACCCGACCTCAGAGCAAGCACATGTGCTACCCAAGACCTTATTGAGACTCCCGCAACTCTCCTTCAGCTTGGCTTGTTCCATCAAGACTCGCTAACTTGGCCTGTCGGTGGTAATGCCAGTCAAGTTTTCTCGTCACCATCACCATTCACCACTGAGGCCACACGAGTACCTCTGATAGTCTTTCACCCCCTCAGTCTGTGTATCAGGGTCGTGTAGAACCAATTAAAGGGATATAGAGGCATAATTTCTTTGTGCCGGAAACTACGCATCAGACATGGCTCAACCACGTTAACCTTGACGATACCATATACTGTCATACTGATGAATAGACTGAAGCTACGGGTTCCTTTCCCGAAGTCAACTATCACGCTCAGCCGAAAGTTTTGTCTCTAAATACACATCAGAGAGTAAGCATCCTCTGTGAACCCTTGAGATAACCCCGGAAGTAACAGAATTACATGATACAGGTACCGCACCCGCAACCTCTTCGCTACCAAAATCAAAATCAAACAAAGAACCAGCGACGAAACCAAATATATGCTGTTGAGAAGCTCTATGGAAGACTGTCTATGGATCAACTTCGTGGGATGCTCAAGTGTTTGAACGGCCGGCTAATTTCAAAGTTCCATGGAAGATGGCAGCGGCTGATGAAGAAATCAGGATGTATTTGAATATCGCTGGCACCCGCCACCATGTCTAACGGTAAAGTCATGTCAAAGACAGTTCAAGCCAGATTTGAATGCTTGACCGTGTTTGCATACCGAATGATAGCTGTTTGCCTCATGTCAGATACACACATGTGGCTTCTTACGCATAGACGTGCTCAACTGAACTGAAGGTCGAGGAAACAATCATCACTTTTAACTAAGGTACTTACCCATGACTGATGAGTGAGCCATTGTGAATTTAAAATCATGAATTCGCAGTATCGTGTCAAAGCAATTACCAGCCTGACTAGCCCATGGCATGCATCCCTCAACCCATCATGTACATCATCACCATAAAACCAGGTCGTTACTCTCACCCGAATTCCCATGCCGCTAGCGCCAACTATCATCCCATGCCGTTCCCAAACGAGACGACACTGACACCGAGCCACAATTTCTCATCATACATCCAGGCATAGCCGTGTCAGGCGGTATTCCAATCAAAAGCAGCCAAAGCCAAACCCAGGTTAAAAGATATAGATTAACAGTGCTTGAAAAAGAAAGGAGAGAGACAGAAAAAAAAAAAGCAATAATTAGAACAGAGAAGCCTGCAATCATCTCCAGGAAATAGCAGGTTGACAAGCAGACGCCGAAAACGCCTCATGTCGCGGAATTCCAGCCGCTCTCACCGACCAGAAGCCTAACCGGGCCTCACACTTTCGTACTAAGCAAATGGCATTTCAAAAGAAAAGAGCATAACGCAAGAATGCTCGCAAAATACAAAAAAGCGAAGCAAAATCCGTGTGCTGTTTAGCTTCGTTCGTCTCGATTTGTTGGTATCAAGCAACCCTAGTTGAGATTAGGATATTGTTGAATGTTGAAATAATGCAGCAAATAATGATTTCAGAGAAATGCGGCTGATGCTTGGTTTCGAACCGAAAATGCCGTTTCTTGAAAAACCGATCCATCATGACGATTTGGATCGAATCGACCCTAGATCTCCATACGACCCGCGACATCATCGCTCATGGACCTGTCAGGACTGCTATCGAGCATCTCCATATCCTCGATATCATCGCCAAAGTCTTCGTCTGAATAGGCAACGAGATCTCCGTTCTCTCCGCGATTCCAGAAAAGACCGTCGTCATTGAGCTCTTCGTCGTCCTCATTATATGGCACCAACTCAGCATCTTGATCACCAAGCCAGTAGTTGGCGCGTTTCTGCGCGCCAGCTGATTCGAGATCCCGTTGGTTGCTGTGGTTCCTGGCCAGATTTGTGGGTCGGAGAGTTGGGCTATGAGACGAGATAACTGGCACAACGCGGACGTAAAGATATGCCACTCTTTTCAAGGTGCGGTTGAAGAAGAAGTAGTGTGAAGCCCAGATCGCACTCTCGTCTTCTTCAAAAGGGTCGCTCTCGGGGTTGTAGCTGAAAATAGTGCACTCGTTGAGATGCATCTCCTTGTCGATCAATGACCAGCATTGGGGGCCCCATATCGAGGTTGTCTCACTGCCTAGCGAGGAGCCGAGAGATTTGGGTTCGAAGTTAGGTCTTACGTTCTGAAGAATTGAATCGAGGTTGACCATGACGCGACGAAGATGTCGCTCGCGTTTGAAGTCGTTGGGTCGAAGGACATGAGAGAAATCGTAGTGTGGATGACTCGCATTCAGCGTCGCGATAAGGTATGCAAATGTCTTGCGACTCGAGAGCTCGGACAAGGGGCCGAAAGCACTTGAGTGTGAAAATAGCTGCATGCTCGGTGATGTCGCAAGCATGTGAGCGCGCTCAGGTGGTGATAGGCTGGCGCCGAGCTTGAGAAGGGCTTCGTGTTGTGAGTTCAGATCGTTGTCGATGTTTTTGTAGAGCTTCTTGTCGGAACCTGTTGATTTCGTTGTGTAGAGATCGCATCCGCCTGTCACGCTACAGTCGGGTGTGTTGTAGTTCAGCGCGCTCGTCACTGCCTCGAAGTCTTGTACTGGTAGATACTGCATGTGGGCGTTAGCATGTGTCGGACCAGAGGTTCCTCCTCGGGGTCCTGGGGCTGCTAACCTTCATCTTGAAAGCGGAAGAGCACTTTGGGGTCGATTCTGTGGTGTTAATGTCGCGGCGTTGATGCGCTGGACCGTGAATCCGTGATGCGACTGACTGATTGAGGGCGCAGTCAAAGGAACAGATTGCGTCAGCGTGGAGTCGTGGTGGGCCGGAGTCGGAAGGTGACAGTTGTCGAGATACGGGAAAGATGGCGGTAAGCGTACGATGGCCGATGTCATAAAACACGATGTCGAAATCGGTTGCGACAATCGATAATGCGACGATACGGGGGTGGTAATGATAATTGAGGAGAAAGAGGGGGATAATAGGGTGAGGATGAGGATGATTGGGAGTGGGCGGAAGGAAGTCGGGAATTATAGATCGCCGGAGCCAGGAGCAGGTGCAGTTCGGCGGGGGGGCGAGGTCAGGAACTTAATTCGCGGTGGTAACTTTGAAAGCCCTGGACGGAGTAATCGGCGGCAGACTGGTTATTGTAACGTTGGGAGATACAGTGCAGCCGGCAAGGACCCTGAGAATCTAAAAGACCGGAGATAAAAAGAGATTGGTTGGCGATGACGGGAGATAATAATAGGCGCTGATCAAGATTGGACAGGAGATTGCCGAGAACCTGGTCGATTCAACTGATGAAAGGGGGAGATTTTGGATAGAGATAAGCAAGTAACAGGGTTGAGGTTGAGGTTGAGTTGGTGAATACATTAGCAATAAACAAAAAGATAAGGTAGGAAAGGAACCTGGTTAATTTATTATGAGACCAAGGAAACACATGATGACTGATTGAGGGGCCGCAATGGAAAGGATGGATAGGCCTTGAATTGATGGAATTGGCCGGCTTCGGGATAGAATGGTTGGAGTAGAATGGGATGACCTGTTGGGTTGTCTGAGGTTAGCGGATGAACGGTAACTCTGTCTCTCGCTTGCATTGCGTTCTCGTTAAACAAAGACATTTGAGTCCACTCAAATCTGGTGTGATCCTTTGCTGCAGCCAGCCACGGGATCTCAAAATCAGTCACTATCGCTGAGAGCTGAGTTGAGCTGGGGTGAGCTTGGACCGGTCCCGGCTCTGGTCCGGCCAATGCTGAAGATTTCCGGGGATCGCGTCAGTTCTCGGTACTGCCAGTTAAGCCATGGATATCAACGGGAGCCAAGAGACCCCCCCGCAAGCCTCATGCTTCATCCTTTGGCTCTCATGAGAGCAACATCAGGGAATTTGCTTTGATCAATTCTTCAGTGCCAACTTACAATCCAATCGTCTCGCACATGTTCCTAATTACGATCTGTTGTTCGAAGACCCGAATGTGTAAGTTTGGCGTATCGTAATAGGGGGAATGCTCTGGCGGCAACTCCACGCGATTGATCAGCGATAGCGAATGGGGCTGAACTCCGAAACCACGCGCTTCAGTCGACCGCTAGGATGGTATAGCACATCGCCTCTGATGGATGGGCCAGATCCATCTTCAGTCACCGTCTAACGTCAGTTGGAAATTGGAGAAACAGAAAACAAGAAACAGAAATAAGCATATGAGGTCAATCGTTTTCTCTTGATTCCAGTTGCGGGCCGAGGTGTTGCGACAGAGCAGTGCGGTTGATTTCGGCTTCGATAAGCACAGGAGGTGACCCAACGTGCCAGACCTGACTATTTTCAGTGGGACACAGCCTCTGATGACGATCATTGCTGTTGTTCAAGGCTCGCTCTCCTCTCACTATTTCGTCGACGTTTGATCGATGACGGGTCGAAGGCCAGAGACAATCTCTCTGCGCTGCCCGTTGTAGCTGTCGCAACACCATCGCCCACAGGCCTCATCTCTGGATACGAAAGAAGGTGGTTTTCCACCGTCAAAGATCTACAAAACAAGACCAACACGGTCGGAGACTGCCAAAAACACCATCTGCGCCTATTCCCA